CTGCAGACAGAGAAGGCCACCAAAACTGAGGCTGGACAATGTAAATGGTTTTAGTAACACCAGGATGACAGATGAGAACCTTGACAGAACTCAGTAGGACAGTAACTGGAGATTATTGGTTGAGGAGGGCCTGACTGACCTCCTTCTCAATGTCAACCATAGTGATGGCACACCTCACAGATTCAGGCAAAACACATTCCTCATCACCACCAGAACTCAGCTCATCCACCTCAAACAACCTGGACAAAGCATCAGGTTTGATATTCCTTGACCAAGGTTTGTAAGATAGAAATAAATTGAAGAGACCGACAAATAGTGCCCACTTCACCTGTCTGGGATTGAGTCTTTTGGCTGACTTCAGTTTTTCAGAATTTCCAGTACTCCAGAAACGGAGTACCTTATTAACAAGGTTCTGAAAAACTGTTGGTGCATTGGTGAGCTTAAAAGGCATTGCCAGGTATTCATGGTGATCAGTGGGGGTGTTGAAAGTGGTCTTCCAGTCATCACCCTCCCTGATCCGCACCAAGTGGTATGCTTTGCGTAGAGATCCGGCAAGTGACTCGGAGAAGTACTTCTCAATAGTTTCTCAGGGACAGACATAGAGTATAACCCAGCCCTAGGAGGTTTGGTACTAAGCTGTAGATCAATCCCACAGTCAAAGGAGGTTTGGTACTAAGCAGAAGATCAATCCCACAATCAAGGGGTCTGTGAGCCGTGTCCTGAAATACCCCATGGAGGTCATTTTACTCCTCAGGGACCCTAGAAAGATGAGGATAAAATTCTGAATCCTCAGAATAAACTCGGACTTAGTTGTCCATAAACAGGAACTCGGACATGCAGTAGACCAGTCTAACACTTCCACCCTTTGCCAGTCAATATGTGGGTTGTGCTTTGAAGCCAGGTAGAACCTAAAACCGTTCAATATGGTTCCCACCCACCACCAGCTCCACAGGTTCTGTCAAAAGAAATGACTGATTTAGCTGATGTCCATCTAGGGATACTAACTGAGAATCTGGTGTGTGAATTAGCTTGATTTCGAGTTGCCTGGCCAGTTCCCCATTCATGTACTCGGTATCTGCTCCTGAATCCAGAAAGGCTGACAAACTATGGCTATGTGAGCCAGCAGACAGAGTCAAAGCGAGCAGAAGTTCTGGGGAGGCAGATAATCTAGCTTGGCTCAGTAGGATCTTCCCTTCTCCTACTGAGCCTGTTCTGAGTCTCGACCAATGTTACTCTAAACCACAGTGGAAATAGAGCTGAAGCCTAAGGCGAAGATCCTTCTCCTCCTTGGATAAACGAGCAAGTCCCAGCTGCACTAGTTTTGGACCAGAGGAGCGAGGGGGTTTCAACGTTGTCCCTTGAACCTCTGAAACTGATGGGAGGATGGGAAGTGGAGAACAGCAGGACCCCATTCCCTGCGTCCCTCCTGAAGGCAAAGTTCAATCTGTGTAGCTAACTCCTGCAGCTCCTTCAGAGAATAAGAATAATCACAGTTGGTTAGCTCATCATTTATCCTCTCCCTGAGCCCCATGATAAAAAAGGTCCATTAGAGCCTATTCATTCCACAGACTCATTGCAGCTATTGATTATGTATTCGGACACTGATTGATTCCCCTGCTTAAGAGTCAACAGGCCCCTAGAAGCCTCCCTGTTGGAGAGAACTGGGCCTAAATCACGGACTAGCATCTCAGAAAAATCCTCATAGGATTCACAGAGAAAGGAGTTCTCACTTTCCCCATAACTTCGCCTCACTAGTAACAGCAAGATTACATAAGCCATCTTGGCTCTCTCAGAAAGAAATTCGCAGGGCTGCAGTTGGAAGTGGATTTCGCACTGAGTTAAAAAAAAGCCCGGCACTGTTCTGGATCGCCCCATACAATTCAGGGGTACACAGTGGTGGTTCATGACAGGCAGAGACAGCAGGCTGAGGCATTGACACAGGCAGTGTGGGAAGGAACAGAGGCAGCTGAAGCCTGATTACGCAGGTGAGCGAGAATCTCATTGACTCCACATTCAAGCTGAGAGATTTCTTGTTTTACACCCTCTGTTTGCTGGATCCATAATTTCAGCCAGATTATTCTGTCAGGACCTCAGAACCTTGGACCCAATATTTAGGCTAACAGATCTGAATGATTTTCAAACAGGCTTTATTAATACAAAACAGTTAATGGCTGGCCGTCAGCAGGGCGTATAACCCTATTCTCTGCATAGAATAGAAAACTCAGATCAGTGACTGGAATGTCGGGTTGATCACTACAAGGAGCAAAAAGTCACTGACCTGGTTAAACAGTTCAGTCCAATCCCATAGGAAAGGGGGGAATACGGGAGGGAGATTGTCCACCGCTTGCGGTCGTAGCCACTTCCAGTGGCCAATGATGAGGAGGCAACAGTATCCGTGAGAGAATTTCCAGAGCTGAAGTCGAATCCGAACCAGGTGGCAGACCAGATAAGAGTGGAAAAGATACTGAAGATACTGAAGGAGAATCCAAGTCATGGTCAGTGACAAAGTCCAAGTTTGGTAACCAGCAGAATCCAGGAAATCAGTCCAACAACAAAACTGACAAAGCAGACAACGGCAAGGCAAAAACATGAATATCCAAAGAAAAAAAAAAACAGGTCAGAATCAGTATCACAGAACAAAATGTTTGAATGCAAGAGTTACTCTCACCAAACAGCTCAAATAATCTGGCAGCAATGGTAGGCAATCCAACAGCATAAATAGCAGAGGGAATCAGGTGGAAACAATATTCATTAATGAGCCGCCAGGCCAACATCATCTTGGTCCTAATTGACAGAAACCTCCATCAGCTTATGTAGCTGCTGTCCTGATACCTAGCATTCAATGATATCTTAGGAAATTCTATTCTCCTACTCGTATAATGTCAGACGTTCTGAAGCCTCCGTCTGAGCGCCTTATCTGGTACTATGAGTGTGTGGTTCAAGCTTTCTTGTCCCATATGCTGCTCATCATGTTTCGACAGGTATGGGGCCATCTGTAAACCTCTGTGTTATGCTGTCATCATAACCAATATGATTCTTGTGAAGCTGACCCTCTCTGCCTGGGGCACAGCATTTTTCTGGGGATTCTGCTGGGTCTGACAGTCTGGCTGAACCAATGCAGGACTCTGATCAGACATCCATACAGGTAAAATCACATTTATATTTTGCTTTATGCTCTTAGCCACAACAAGAATCTGATAATTTGAAGAAAAAAAAACTATACATACAAGTATATATGCACACACTGAAACTGACAGTAAAATTACCCGTGAAACGTCTTCCCACAGCCGGCAAACTGCTTTTCTTTGCAGCCAAATGCTACACATGTAGGCATTTTTACTGTGCGTCTCCATGGGAGTGGGGAGTACCAGCATGGTGGACTGTGGCTTTACTTTTTTAGGGCAATCAGCAATCCAGTGACTAGCGATCAGTGGTATCTGATCACTCCTTGTTTGAGATGCTAGGGGTCCACAGGCCTGACCACAGCAGCCCACCCTAATCCCTCTGATTGGCTGGAAGTGACAGGAAGTCAGGTTCCTGTTATAACTATGTGAAGGTATGTTTAAATATTTTATAACTTAATGCATCTTTGGACATACGAAAAAGAAAATGTATAAATTGTACAAATACAGAATTTATCTTTCAATAGACAAATCTTAAATATATCAATTGTTGTGGTGCTTTTGCATTTGAATACAAAAAGGTAATACAAAATGGTGATTGGTGTTGTAATATTTTTCTTTTATAAAATATTACTGACATCTAAAAAGCAGCTATTGGCTTTTTTAGCACGGATACATCTTTTTGTTTTTGTTTTGTTTTTTGAGCATGGAGAGAGTTATTAAATTTATATTCTTATTTAGTTGTTTGTTTTTTGTGTTATTTTAGCAACACTAAATGAGATTTATGCTCATTCCAGAAAAGGTTGCTTTGGACAAACTTTGTTTTAAAAATTTGAAGCTTGTGAAACAGCTTATTTCATCAAATAAAGCAGCCTCAATGCAAAGACCTAAGTCAAACGTTTCATCAGCTAAAGAGCATTTTACTGGACTGTGGCGCCACCTGCTGCTGACAGGACGCACTACATGCATATGTGCAATAGTATAGATTTAAGACATGTTCAGTTCCTCTCTGCAGAAGTTTTATAGGTCTCTAAAAGTGAAGGCTTTAAACTCAGATCTTAAACTCGAATCATTGAAGGACGATTCCCTGAAAACTGTCATAGTAGTTTCCTATTTTCCTCATTGCTATTGTACGTCCAGCACAATCTGTCCTCGGCCTCTAACCCACCCTTATGACAGGAACGTGCCTATGTGCAGCACCCTATGGGCATCCTGTGGTTAGGGTCTTGTTCAAGGTCCCAATCCCTTGTGAGGGATTTAAACCAGGGATCTAGCAAAAAACTTAAAGCTGACAAAATGTTTCTGTTTCCGGACTTTATTACAATAAAAAAAATAGATTCAATTACAAGGGAAAATCTATTTATTTGTAACTGAAATTGCGTAATGTGATTTTAAAGCAACTAAAACCTAATGATTACTAATTAGTTGGAATTGATTTAACCCTTTGTTGGAAACAGGGTATTGTGTTGCGGATTTGTTACAAATATATCATAAATATTAAAAACTATAACTTATTTGCCAGATCACAAAAACTAAAACCAGAACCAATTAAATAAATAAAAAAATAACATAAACCTAACATTCTATAAAATAATACTGACAAATAGAACCAACAAACCCAAAATTTAAGATTATAATTGGCAAGAAAATATGAATCTTGCTGAAAAATCTACAGTGAAAAGTCCCAAACTATTGTAATGTTGATCCAGGTGGTTATCACCAACCACACTGAAGCTATCTCACCACTCCAGCTCTGCTGATGATCTAAAGCAGAACCCCTTCAAAGACACTCAAAGACTGTGGTTTGGTCCACAGGTCTAAAGGATGTGAGATCCATGTTCTGACATCAAGATAGGCTGCTAGCCCAGGCACTGAAGGTTTGGTGGTTGAACGGATCACTAACTGAACGCCTCGGGTGAGGTTTTATTGTCTGAAAGGCTATAAAAAAATAATAATAATCTTCCTCCATGTTTGTCTCTATTTCTTTTTAAGGCTGCAAACATGAACTGACCCAAATTATCCCTAATCATCTACACCAACACAACCCCCACCTTAAAGCCAGTCTGTATAGACAAAGAACTGGAAACAGGAAGTCAGCAATCTAAGAAAAACAAGCAGGAAGTCTAGACCAGATAATGTTCTGTTGATTGAGAGCAGTGTCAGCAAAGCAGAGAGAAATAAAACAAAAAGAGAAAAAAAAAGGTTCTAATCTAGACAGTATAGAACATAAGTCTAGCAGATAGAGAACCATTGGGTCTGAGTATGGATGCATGCCACACTTTTCAGAAGATCTTATGTTAAGTCCCATGAGTGATTTTCCGTTTTTTACATGGAGGTCTGTGATTTCAATGGGCCTAAATAGATTTTTAGGATAGTGTAGCAGAGAGAAGAAATTTGGTTTTCAGCCCTCCTGCAGCCAAAGCCTATAGCAGCAGAATTATGGAGAGAGCTGTGGATAACCTGAGCAGTTAAATAACAATTCCAGATGTGAAGCAGCAGCAGGGAGCCAAACAGCAGAGAAGTTTTTTATAGTTCTACCACTGACTGAACAAGTCAAACCAGACTAGGAACTGCCGCTGAAGGATTCTCTGCTCCAGAAACACTTCAGTTCAGCTCTGCAGGAACAGTCCAGTTGAGCTCCTCCAGGAACAGTCCAGTTGAGCCCTCCAGAACCTTAAGCTTTTTTTTTTTCTAGTATCTCCAACAGTTTGGACTTCCTGGGTTGGATTCCTGAAAGCACTCCTCCCCCTCCCTTCCTGCAGCTGGATGTGCTTTCAGCAGAGCAGAAGAGAAGCAGAACCAGCAGCAGCTGAGACTGAACTGAGCTACAGGGATCACAGTAAGTCTTCTGTTTCCTTCAGTTTCGTCATTGTTTTCCCCAGAGGATTGGAGTTTGACTCGATGAGAGAAAGCTGCTGCTGTTCTGTGGAGTGTCTGCTTTTAAAAAAGAACCTCTCTTCACTTCAAGGTGAATGAAACTTCTCTGGAGCATCTTCCTGAGTTAATTCAGGAGATTTCCTGAGCTCAGGCTGATCATCACCATCAGGTTTAGTTGGAGACAAACCTTCATTAACTTCTTCATTACCTCGTGAAAGGAGCAAGAAGGGGGAGAAACTGTTTAACTGATTACATTAAATCTCTGCTTTTATTAACTTATTCCGGATCAGGATTCTTTAGTGAATCTGACAATCTTGTTTTTGTCTCCTGAGCCTTTGGTGTCTGGTTGAAACCAATCTCCTGGAGTTCAGAAAAGGATCTGCATATAAACTATAAATCTGCTCCTTTTTACTGGAGCTGATGGTAAACACATGGCTGATGGTGGCCATAAAAGCCTACTGATTACCGCTAAGCTGGTTACTGATTAATACTTGCAGGTCTTAAAACATGGACCTGCTCAGGTAGAACTGATACTGCTGCTACCAACTGTCTGCCAGCGTGTCATGGTTTTGGTTCAGTTGTGCTTTACTTTGCTTTGGTTTAATTCCTGTTATGTTGTAGTTTCTAGATTTAAGTTCTCTGGTTTTTCTGTTGTTTTCCTTTGTTGCCCTCTTGTGTGTTCCTTTCCCCTTGGCTCCCCCGTTGTCTCCTCTCACACCTGCTCCTTGTCAGCTTGTTAGCCCTGTTTTTGTCTCAGTCAGCTACATATACTCTCCCTCTGCTGTCACTCTCTGTTGGTTCCTTGTTGTTGCTGGTCCTGTCCTCGCTGTTCTCTGCTCACCTCGTCTCTCCCTGGCTCCTTGTGCGTGTTTTCCTCTGATGTCTCCATGGTTCTGATCTGTGTTACATTTTAGTTGGATTCCTGCCTTTAACTGCTTTCATCATTAAAACTACAAGAAATCACCTCAGTCTCTCTGCCTCTGCATTTGGGTCTAAACCTCAACCCAAACGTGACACAGCGGGTCCAAAAGAAAGAGAAATGGAATGATCTAGAATCTGTTCATTCTTGTTTTAGGTTTTCCGAATAAAACAAATGTCAAAAGGTTCAAATATCCATCACATGGATGGAAGCAGCAGATATCAGCCACATACTTTCATTTTTCTGTTTAACAGCAGGTTTTTAGCTGAGCAATGAAACCACAGAGTCTCGACACGTACAAGGTTTTCAAAGGAGAGCGGACAAGAAAAACCGAGGGCTACATATGAGCCCAAAAGTATACAAATAAAGCTAATCAGAGTCACAAACTTAGAAGTACAGAACATCCATTATTGACGCTTTTAAAGGGACATCAGATTTTTATTTTATAAAAGAAATAGACATTTTCTTCTTCAGGTTTGTTATTAAAAAGGTTTTATTTCCATGAAAGAATTCAGGAAATGTGAAAAACAAAACTTTGAAAACTGAGCTGAAAGTTGACGATCTATTTGGACAGTCCAGTTGTGGTCTTAGTGCTTCAAACTACATCAAAAGAGGAAGAGGAGGAGTAAGGTTGAGGGCTGTCTAGATGCGTGGAGGCCTTACAAACTAGGGCTGTAACTAATGATTATTTAGCTGATCGATGAATCTGTCAAATATTTTTCCAATTAATAATCACATTAAAAAAAAGGTTCCTTGAAGATTTTTTACAGAATTAAACCAAAGGAAACTAAAACTTTACCTCTCCAATTCAATTTTGTTTAAATATATATTTAGTGCCAAATCACAGCTCATGTCATTTGAAGGCACTTTATAGAGATAATTAACCCAGATCATCAAATCAGATTGATTTCAAAGTTTTCTATCTAAGGAAAACTAGATGATTGCATCGACTCATTGACTCGACAGCAATCCCTCAAGCTAGTGACAGTGGAAAGGAAAAACTCCCTTTTAATAGGAACAATCCTCCAGTAGAACCAAGCTGACTGGAGTTCAAGGAGACAGAAACAAAGATACAAAAGGCAACTGTCATTTAGCTCCACAGGCGGACCCGTCAAGGAAACACACAGCCAGACAGATGAGCTCCCAGCCAGCTCTTATGTCAGGATTAAAGAAAGCACATACAATTATTCACAGTCAGAGAAACAGGATTACACTGAAAAACAGGCATAGCTCCAACATCTATAAACAAAGGTGTTGATGACAGAAGCTCAGCTGATATTTCTCTCCAGGATGGTGTCACAGCCAAACAGGAACAAACCAGATGAAGCTCTTTAGGAACTCTGGATAGAGCATATTGACAGACAAAAGATGTTAAATATTCATATACATATATAATTACTGCTCTAAGACTGTTGCTCTGTCAGATAAAGGCATGTTTAAAGAAGTTAAAGATAAATCGATTAATAAATAATTTGACAATTATTTCAATAATCAAATAATTATGATTAATTGTTTCAGCTCTATTACAAAGTAAAGGGATTACAGTAAAATCTGAGATTCATCCAGACTGCTGTGTCTTTTCTCACTGGAGAATGACAACAGATCTTACCCGTTCAGATTGAAGTAATCTATGGTCCAGTTCGGAGCAGCCTTGTTCCTCTGATGATTTTCAGAACAGCTTGCTTTAAATGAGCCGATCCAATGCTACTTTACCCACAACCCGTCGGTCAGTCCAATTCAGGCTTCATGGATGCTGGAAGGAGGAGAATCTCAAACACCGAAAATCATCAGAAACCTTCAGTAGAACCTCCTAAGCATCCAGTAGAACCTCCTCCGCATCCAGTAGAACCTCCTCCGCATCCAGTAGAACCTCCTAAGCATCCAGTAGAACCTCCTCAGCATCCAGTAGAACCTCCTAAGCATCCAGTAGTACCTCCTCAGCATCCAGTAGAACCTCCTAAGCATCCAGTAGAACCTCCTAGGCATCCAGTAGAACTTCCTCTGCATCCAGTGGAACCTCCTAAGCATCCAGTAGAACACAGGTGTCAAACTGGTTCCAGAAAGGGCCGTGTGGCTGCAGGTTTTCTTTCCAACCAAACAATAGCACACCAGACTCCAGTCATCCCATCAAGTCATCATGTTCAGATTGGACTCCCTTGATGAGATGAATGAAGTCTGGTGTGCTATTGCTTGGTTGGAAAGAAAACCTGCAGCCACACGGCCCTTTCTGGAACCAGTTTGACACCCCTGCAGTAGAACCTCCTCAGCATCCAGTAGAACCCTCTCTTGTTGGTACAGTACCAGCACGGCTATGTTCTAACCTGAGGCCATATTAGTCCAAATGACTCAGAATGTTTAAAGGTCAGAAACATCAAACATTCCAAGTGAACTCTGTGAACTTTCAATCCAGCTCAATTGCTGTGATGACAGGAACCAGTCCAACCAGCTTGTTGACAAACTGATGGGACCAATAGTTTTCAGCTCCATGGTATAAAGGGCAGAAATGTGTGACGATAAAGACCGAATGTTTCCACCTGCCTCTAAATGAGCTGTTGGTTCTGAAAGGAGGAGCCGCTTCCTGCCAAAGCAGCGCTCAGAATCATCCACCATAGAACCACCACCCTCCATCTGAAGATGGAGACACTGCTTTCTCTACAGGTTATATACCTAGAAGAAGGAGATCCTCGGTGGGAGAGGTCCTAAAGCCCTCCAGCTGTTGTTTGGTCCAGGATGTGATGGTTGAACATCTGATGATCTTCAGGCAACAGAATAATCCCTGCCCTGCATTGTTTTCTGTAAAGAAGACTGAAGATTAGCCTGGTTGTGGTTTTTAGATGTTGTAGGAAATGATCCACAGATGTATGCAGGAGAATCTCTCAGCAGCTTAGCTCTACCATAACACCCCCCTTAATGTTAAAGACCCTGCAGACCTTTAGGGGCCTCCAGGTCTGGACTGTAACCAGATCCCTGGGGGTTTTCATCTTCTCTGTGTGATGTCCCAGCAGCTTTTATCCTGCCTGTCCTTATTTTTCTCTGAGGTCTCCAGGAATGTGCTATGTGTGCAGAGGCAGGCAGCAGTAGGCCTGCATGAAATTAACCTGTGGTTGTGGAGCAGGACCGTGGGGGAAGTTTGGAGCTAAAAACTGCCTTAATGGTCCACTTTGTTGTTGTTGGTGTGTTCTAGGTTCTGCTCTTCCTTGCAAAATCAAAAATAAAAGATGGTGGCAAAAAGCATCAACATGAACTCTGGGGGCGTCCGCCGCTGGAGCCCTTTCAGCAGCATCAAGGTCAGTCTGGTTCACATTACATCTCTAATGGGCTTGACCCTGCATTAAAAGAAATGTGATTCAACGGCTTTTAAATGTATGTCTCTGCTTCTGAAAACATGCCTGCATTGGTTTCTCAGGTGCTGCTAAACATAAGATTCACTGTTTAGAAAGAAACGCTGTCAATCACACTCAAACCTTTCTGACTGAAGTAGAACCTTTCTATCTCTTAAAAGCCAGACTAAGTATATCATTAATTAAAAACTTATTTCAGCAAAAACAAAAGTTTACACAAAAGCTACAATTAAAAGATCTTTGAACAACTTAACAAAGCAATGATGATGTCATATTTTTCTAAACCTCTGATTGGTTCATTCACAACATTTCAGTTAAAAGTGGGGAAACCTGTTATTGTCAGTTAAAATAGTCATTATCTGGTATTTTACATGTGTAATACTTCTAAAAATGTATTTAAATTCATGTTTAATCATTTGAGGAGAATACTGAGCTCATTATGGCCCCTTTTCATTACCTTTGTTTGATAATTTGACTCATAAGTATGCATGTTAATGTTAACCAGGTTTCATTTTTCTGTCATTTCCAAGTGTATTACACAATACTTAAAAAATACACTAGCAGAAACACTGACACGCTGCCTGCAGTGAGCCCCTGATTGGTGGAATAGGGAGGGGAGTGTCATAGTAAGGAGGGCCAATGTTAGCATCCTTCCAGGTTTTATGTAGCTCAATGAGTCAGACCAAAATCACACTTTGTGGAGAACTCAGCCTTATGAACTTCTCTGCTTTGAGCAAAGTGCCAAAAGAAAAAGTAAAAGCAGCCTTCCAAAGGGGTTGCTCTGTGGCATTGTCTCCCACCTTAAAAACAGAAGCAGAGCTTTATTTGAGAAATCATGTCCAATGATCTGATAAAACTGAGGTGTTTGGTTCTGTTTGAAGGAAAAAGCATGAGAAAATCATCCCTTGTAGCAGCAACCTGTTGTATTGGTGTTTGCTGCTGATCAAATTTATATTAAAAACATAAATAAAAGACATGGAACATGTTGGCACACAGCATGTTTCGAAATATCATGTATGTAAATAGTTTGTTTAAAGGGACGATGTGTAACTTATTTGGCTTTAAGTAACCAAAAACCAAGAATTGCTTTACGATATACATGTTCTTCTGAAGACTAATAACATTCCATTTTAAATGAAAGCATACTTTTAGTTTTGAATTAAGAATTCATAAATATGTCCAGCTGAACACACTGGAGGGTTCCATATTGGGGCGTCTCTACTTGATTAAATTTGCTGAAACGGGACAAATATGTCAGCAAACATGTTTTATATCTATGTTACGAACCAGGATAAAACCAGTGTCTATATCGCCATAGTTTTTTCTAAAGAGAATGGTGCTTTAAAACCCGAAGTAGAAGTTGGGAGCTTTGTGCTGCACAGGTAAGTTTATGGATTCAGTATAACAGTGAAAATAAATTTCTGTCTTATGCTAAAGATATGTGAAAACATGTTTTTCCTCGGGCCTATTTGTGAGATGAAATATTTAGATTGTGCTTTTTCTTGGCGTAATAGGAGTAGGTTTAGAAAAATATTGTATCAGCATCTATGCTGTAATGTTTAAGGTAGGGGTAACATAAAGCAGTTGCCTCCTTACTCTAGACAAGGGTGAAATATAGACAACATGCCCTCTAAGGTGCTTAAGGCTCCCTCATGCCATGAATACAAGACAGTTGTTGTGTTTATCTGGCCAGTGGACCTAACAGGGAATGTCCTTGATGAACTGAAGTTGTTTTCCTCCAAATGTTCATGTGTGAGAAAGTTCTTTATGCAGAGGTGAGATGGTCCCAAGAGTGTCTTGGGATTTTTACAGTATAAATGTGTGTCCTGGGCTCTATCTCTCCGTCTAAGAACGTTAAATAAATTTGTGGTCAGGTGACGTTTTCCTCGTGACAGCCTGTCAGGTTTATTCAATGATGATTATAAAATTAATGTGTGCTTATAAACCATTTGTGCAAGGGGGATGCTGCACTGTGTCTTGTGATGCAGTCAGGAGACCATCCTGCCTTGTCATTCTGATGGAGCATCTTGTCTTTATGAACTGATCAATTGTTCTGTCAGAACAAATACTGTTTTGTAACCATGTGCTATGTTCTGTTAATATAAGACGGCTGCAGGAGAGGATTAGGAGAAAGAAAGCTTGAAGTTGGGTTGGGCTTTTTCTTTCCGCTCCTGCAGAAGCTGCTTCAATCTCTTTCCTGTGTAGACTCAATTTCTATTCTCAATTTCTATTTTTTTTACAAACGCTACATTTCCTGAATCTAACACAGCCGTATTTTCCAAGATATATTTTCATACATTTTTAATGTGTTTCAGTTCATTAGCTAGTGCAGCTCAGAACATGTTTCCGTCACAGAGAAATGTTGTACTGCGGTCGCACATGGTACCATATGTAGGACCTTTTATAACTTATTGCAATCAATAACAACGTTGTTTACTTCATCTCCCACCTAGACACTTAAAATTATGCAGAAGGTTGACAACCCCAATTCTATGACACACCACAGCTTCCGTCATAGGTACCACCGCAAGGTTTTTTGTAATTCATTTTAACACCAGGTGGTGCACGAGTGTGAAAATCTTACACCCAAAGGCATTAAATACCTGCTTCCATTCCTCATTGAGCTTTCGTTGTTCTGTGTGAGGTGGAATAAAACATCCACAGTTTTCTAACACTTTACGACAGGATATGTTTTGCTCAGATTTCTTCCATATTGGAGAGTAATCTGATTAAGGTTCACTGCGCGGTTTAGTCTATGAGGAATTCAAAGGCATCATATCCTCAGTTAAACTAGTCATTAGAATGGTCAGATGGCAGTTGGTTGCAAATTCGACCAAACTTGTTAGTAAATCAAACAACACAGAGGAGGTTGAACACCAAACAATGAATTAGAAGAAGACCAGAAGCTCAACCCAAAAGGTATTCGATTGTTCTGAGCTTAGCTCAGGGATTGTTCTCATTGGGTCAGACTTTAATGTTTTTGGTTAATGACCCAAATGAGCTCAGTTAGGATGAATCCAGTTCTTCTCGTAGTTGTTTATACGCGATCTAACCCTTCATCCTATCTCTTTTCCTTCCAAGCTACCAGTCTTTCCTGGTTTCCAGACTGAGGATTTGTTCAGACAGAGGACAAACGTTGCCATGTTGATTCCTCCTCTGTTCACAGCCTTCCTCCTGTCTGTCTCTACAGGTATTTGTGTTCTGCCACAGTTTTCTGCAGCTCGCTCAGCTTTTAGTCTCTGGTTTCATGAAGAGCTCCATCTCCACCATTGAAAGACGCTACGGCCTATCCAGCCAGAAGTCAGGGATCCTGGCATCCTTCAACGAGGTCAGTTCAGCAGCTTCATCTGTGATTCTCTTTGGTTATCTCACAGTAAATCTGCTTTTTGTGACCAACTTTACTAGAACAAAACCAAACAAAAAGTTGGTGCTCAAAGAAAATACTGACTTACTCTACACTTTTCAGGTTATATTTTCAGCAATGTATATATCAATGCTTTACCAAAACTCCCCTTTGTCTTGTTCTAGCACATGAAACCATAACAAACAAGCACATTATAAAACGTGGAGTTTAAGAGGTCAAGAGAAAAGTCTTTCTTTTGTTTATTCTCAAGCATGTCTTTAATACTGCTGTTCAAAAAATACCTATTATTTTTTGGAATAAAGCTAAGATCTTTCAGTCATGTTTGAACTGATGCAGCTTGGGCTGTGTTTTACTCTCCAAATTTTATATCTATATTGTCAGAATCTAGAAGGCGTTAACTTTCAAATGATGTATCACACATAAAATATGGGCTTACTGTACAGTTCCGCAGTTGTTTGCTTTTCCAATTTGGTATAGAAAATAGGCGAGGATTACTTCAAAATGAGATGGATGTGAAGAGGTTAACAGCTGTAGTATGTCACAACCAAACTAGGAACAAAACTGGACTGACGTCTAAACCCTCAGTTGCATCAACCTTGTGAAAATCCATAAGGATTTAAAAAGAACATTTGAACACTGCACTGAATTTTCATACCTTACTGCAGTATCACCATCCCCTACCCACACACCTACCTGTCGAGTAGCGCTGGCCTATGGCGACAGTGGGCCGCTGTGGCAGCAAATCCTATAATATTTTGCAAGGAGACCTCTCCGCGCAAAGCATTCCGGGACATATCTGCCTCTTCTGAGGCCGTTGTTTTCTTCTCATAAACTTCGTAGACATTTTTTCTCTTACAACCTTCTGCCATTTTCAAAGAACTGCGGTGAGAAAGGTGAGCTTCAATGACTGTCTGAAAGCGTATCTCACCACAGATATACGCCTGAAAGTGCGCATGCAGAGAAAAAGATAGCTAATGGAACGAGCACGTAGGACAGTCTAACATAAATATATCACCAGAATGACTGACAATTAGGTGGACCACTTATTTTGATGATCCACCCAGAAATAAAATATTGTCCTCTATATATTTAAACACAGCTTATTACCATCATGCATAGCAAAACCCTACACAGACCCCAATAAGAGCGGTTTATAAATTAGCTGCATGCCCTCCTAGGCAATGCAAATGGTGCTGTCAAAAATGTTTGATTCAACAGTGTGGTGTTAGGCACTGTTACTAAGTGACAATACGTGGTCACAGTATGTGATGAAACCAAACTGTCTGGGATTTACGCAGAAAATCGGCTGAGTTTAAACACAACGTTTATGATTTAAAAACATACAAACTGTTAAGAGTATTGGCTGTCTTTTTCATGGCCTTCGCTACAAACCAAAATCACTCTTTTCTCAGAAATGGATGTTTTTATCTGTTATCTCTATTTGTGTTCTGCAGAACTGATCCTGATTTTGTTTTGGCAAGTCAAATCTCTGTCAGGTAATGATGCTGGATCTTCCTGTCTTTCACTGGTTTCTCTCTTCCTGTATCCAGGTGGGGAACACTGTTCTGATCATCTTTGTGAGCTTCCTGGGAAGTCGTGTTCATCGTCCGCGGTTCATCGGTGGCGGTGCTCTGCTGGCATGTTTGGCCTCGCTGCTTATGGCACTGCCCCACTTCCTGAGTGATGAGTACATCTACACAGACCGAATCAGCAGTAAGACCTCATGCTTCTGCAAGATTCCTCCCGCCGTTCAACAAAAAAACTGTTTGGTTTGTTGCTCTAAGATAATCTCGCCTGTTTCCCAACAGCCTCCACTGATAACAGCTCAGGCCTCTGCGGTACATCCTCCTCCTCCAACCAAACATGTCTCGAGCAAGACAGCCCCGCCCAACAGATGGTCTACCCTCTGCTGCTTCTGGGTCAACTGCTACTGGGCATTGGAGCCGTCCCTATCCAGCCCTTCGGCATCTCCTACATCGATGACTATGCCAGTAGGAAGAACTCTCCGCTCTACCTTGGTAGGACACAGCAAATAAATCAACAAAGTTTAAACTCAATCATACTTTATTATGTAGCTGCTCTCTAAATATAACAAGGTATGGAGCTTCACAGCTTGTCTGGATCAGTGGAGAAAAGAATGAAGAAGCAAAAATCTCTGTTCAACATTTTACTAATAGCTAGAACCAGAACTCTCTGCCATGTCCAATGTTTGACAAACAGAGACACTGCTAAATGAAACTAATCAGAAAATGTTCCTTTATTTAGCTAAGGTGGCATAAAAGGTTGGCCTATGAAGCAATGGGAGGTTCAGATGTGAGAATTTGGTTTAGACAGTGTGGTATAAAGGGATGCCCTCATCTTGTCTAGTTCCTCTGGGGCCGAGCGATGATCTGTTGTTTCAGTACTTCATGTCATTCCTCTTCACTGTTGTCAACCCAACGATTGAGGTCTAATGGCCCAAAGATACTGAATGACCAGGTTAGTCCATCAGTTTATTCCTGGTTTTCATACAGGTTTTCATAAAGTTTTCATACATACTACTGAACAGCTTTCATATACACTACTGAAAAGCTTTGTTACATACTACTGAAAAGTTATTTGGGGATTTTAGTAGTAATGGAAGATATTTCAGTGAAACAGGAAGGAATGTCATTCAACCAGAAGTTGTTTTAAACAGAGGTCATTCTGAATAGATCTCCAGCCAAAATTTTATCAAATAAAATTATTGATTATTACTTAGCTATCAGCTGAACACCTCACAGAAGCATGGGCATTACTCAACTTCATTTATTTTTTTGCTTCAATGGAGATCCTGCTCTGGTGTTGTGCTAAATTCTGTTCCCCTATGAAAATCTGTTCCCCCTGTGTTGCGAGCGCACATTGCATCCATAGAAGCAGTTCTGATCATTCTCCAGGCGCCTCTCATCATTTCTCTGTAAAAACAAATCATATAATCATGTCAAGGTTGAAACATTTTGTTTAATCGGCAGCTAGTGTTTACAAAATTGTAAAATCAAAAAATAAACAAGGTCTCCTTACGCTGTTTAACGATCTTTTTCCAACTTTTGAAACTTAAGCCTTACAGAAATAAAAATCAGTCACCAAACGCAGATTTCCAACCCGTAGTGTGTATTTATAACTATTCATTACTGATATAAAAGGATGGAAACTTGCTGACAGTTGGGCACAAAAATAAATACTTCCTGCAAAAATGAGAGTGTAGACTTTCTGCTTAATCCTGTTGTAAAATATGACAGATTACTGCATTAAGGAACTTTCTAGTATCCTACATGCTATCACACATAACATTTTTTGAGAATTTGGAAACAGTTGCTCTTTATTTCCCAAAGATATATGAGGAGGAGAGGAGAGAATTGATATTTCAGCTGCCTGAAATAATCCGTTCCCCCTCCATAACATGGGAACAAATGAATTTAGCTGCAACTCTTTATCTGTGTTTATTGCTCTCTTCATCAACAACAAACCCTCTGGATTTGGTGACATTTGATCAATAGTTGCCTAAACTAAAGGAAGGGAACCATGTATTTTAGCTGATTGAAATAATCCGTTCCCTCTACATAACATGGGAACAAATAAACAAATGCTATGAATTTGGAAGTTGTCATTATTTTTCTATATAACATTTGAAACATTTATTATTTGACATTTTGAAATCAAAAATTGTTAAATAAATATGACTGTTGGTTTGATGACCTTTATGGAATGTATTTTCTGTTTAAATGTTTATCTAACAATTTAGTGGACTTTGTTTCTCAAGATTGAAGACATTTTACATCCCATCCAGAAAGCTTGCTTTGAAATTAGAAAGGGATGGGAAGCGAAACATCTTCAGACTTGGAAAACAAAGTCCACTGGTTTGTTTTAAAGTTGTTTTGGGAATGACAGTGACCTGAGAATCTTCACCAGCTATTTGCAAATATTTTTGCAGATATTACATCTAACAATGTACCTTACAATATAAATACATACAGTGTTTTCTGTAAAGCCACAAATCCCATGATGCTGAAAGGGCTTCTGTTTTAACTGAAATTTGCAAATAGCTTTTCAGTAGTGTATATGAAAGCTTTTCACTAGTATGTATGAAAGGTAAAGCTTTTCACCAGTGTATATGAACACTTCTCACTACTTTTTATGAGAGCTTTTGAGTAGGATATATAAGAGGTAAATGTTTTCACTAGTTTAGGTAAGAGCTTTTCACTAGCATTTATGCACATTTTCTGTATATTATATGGAAGAGATAACTTTAATGTGTGTATATGGAAGTTAATTCTGAATTATGTCCCGGGGGCACCTCATAACCAGCTGTTATAGCGGAACTCACCCAGAGGTTGTACCCTGTCAGCCAATGACTGAAAAAAGTGTGTCTTTTACTTCTTATGACCCCGTCTAGTCACTGTTGAGAGCAGTTCTGGGTTAAACGTTTAGGTCTCTGCGGAGGAATTACCCAGTTCACTCATCATTACTTTACTGGCCCTCTGTCATTTAAGGAGTAAGTCAGAATTGCTGCTTGTTACCAGAGGGGCAGGCTCACCCTGACATGGTTAGTCACCTTGGTGATTGATCAGTCAGTTCCCATTTTTTTTTTTTCAGTGCAGTTAAAGTTAATTTATACAGCAACAATTCACAAGACTTTATCTCATCACACGTAAATCATGGAAAACCCGACAGATTGCATCGAGTCTTTGATTCACAGAATTCCCTCCTGGATGAGCCACAGTTGCTGGTCGCTCCAGTGTGGTGGCTTTTGAAGCAATCCCTCTGACTCTAACTTGACTTCACAGTTGTGAGAACAAACACCCAGCAGGGCTCCTCATGGTTTCCATTCCTGTTTTCTGGATCATAGCTCAAACTAGATATCCTTAAACATTTTGGACACCTCAGAAAGGCTATTATCTTACCTGAGTGAGAAATAACACCGTGTGTTATCATAACGACCCAGAGGCTGGTAGGAATGCTAACAGTTTGGTGGCAGATGGTAACTGAGCCCCTTTGTGTAAGAAGGTGTAGATATCAACCTGAGAGGTGATTAACACATTGTCCCAACGTCACAAAGAAAGTTCCCCATTATAAGGAGGAACAGGACATTCCTGAATGCGTCAATCAAGTCGAGAAGTAACTGCAATGAAAGGACTGCTGGAGGAACTCTAGTCTCCTGAGAGCAGGAATAGATTTTACTGACAGAGCAGGCTGCTCCTTCTCTGCAGCTTCTCTGCTTATATAACTGACCTACTTTAGCCGGTTTCCTGGAACTGAATCTGATCCTCAGAGGAAACTGTGCTAAAACTGTGTTGCACATTTCACTCCTTCACTCCTGCATGGTCATTTTGTTGAAATATCTTAGACACTTTCAGAGAAATGCTAGTGTTCTAATGCTTTCTAAGCACATTTATGAAACACTTGGTGATTAATACTTTCTGCAGAAATGTTGAACTTCTTATTTTTCTGTTTCGTATGTTACTTAGAATACAAAGAAAGAACAAGCAGTTTAGTGAAAGCACTGTGATGTAGAAATGCTTTTTTTGCTCTGAGTGCAGAAAGCAAATGAGGAAGTCGTCTAGATCTTTAGGTGCGGTCCGAACTCCCTTAGGCGGCTTTATCAGATACTATCTACACAGCAATGAAGTTATCTTAAACAGCGCAGACCAAAGCACAGAACCACGAGGAACTCCGGAAATAATACCTATCTCTGAAAAAAATTACGTTTCTAAGCATTCAACTGCTGGGTCTTAAAGGTATGGAGGAGGATGTACTTTTTCCGCGTGGATCATCAAAATAAGTGGTCCTCCTAACTGTCAATCATTTTGGTGATATGTTTATGTAAGACCGTCCCCATTTTCACTTACCGGTGGTGAATCTGACATAGTGGAAAAATTGCAAATCTTCTTTTGGAAAGTAAGCTTGTATGAACGATGCAAACAGCAAATTTGAAACACAGCGTGCACAAGGAGATCTGGCCTCATGCATGCTCTCGCACACGTTTAATAGGTGTTCCCTCTCAGGAGCGGGTACAGGGTTGTCCGTGTGCATCTCTTTTTTTTAGAGTGGAGAGGGTGGGTCTTTTAAAAAATTTGTGAAAATCCTCCACTATATCTTAAAAAAAATTAAGGCATGTTGTTACATATAGGGGATGGAAGAGGAAAAAAGTTTGGTTTTTAACAGGAACATTTTGTTCTTATGTCAATGTAGCTTGTTTTATTCAACTAATAGGAGAGAAAAGGTTATGTTTTAATCAATAAATTGAAAAACACCAGGATGGTGAGAGATTTTTTAGATATTTGTAAGTTGGATTCAATGTAGACATTGAAACAGTCACTGTGTCTTTTAGCAGCTTCTGACAGACTAGATCATGATTGCTGAATCAGCCTCTGTTTATCAAAATTATCACTATTTGAGGGGAAACATCAACTAGCGATAAGAACCATGGAACTCCTGATCATTGGGTCTGAAGGTTCCATGTTCTGCTCCAACATGAGTATAAGAACTTTCCCAATCCACATATGGTCCAGAGATGGACTGAAGTGTTTGAACAGGAGGGAAGAGGACACCATGCCAGCCTTTGAGGCATGGTGTTGGCAGTGTCATGCTGCTGCTGGGCTTTCCATCTGGAAAGAGGGACTGATGCATTTCCAAAGAGAAGACTTCATGAAGTGAGGAAATCATATGGAAACACTGAAGCATCATGTCAAGGATCAACTGGAAGGTTGAAGTTTTGAGACAGCTGCATCTTCTAAGTGTCCCTCAGTGTGCATCATAAGCTGTGAACTTTTAAACCCTGCGGTTTCGTCGTACAGTTTTAGCTGTAGCTGAGTACAATCATTGAAAAATATCGCACAGTTTATGTCCGCCTTAAACAAACAGCAATAGGAAAGATTTAATGTCAGAAAGATGCTCTTTGTGTGATTAAAGGATAAATATCTTCCTTGCATGTTCTTTTTTTCCCTTATCTCTGTTTTTGTTGTTGTTTCAAATCTTTTTCTGTTGCGTCTTCCAGGCATCCTCCTCGCTGTGACCTCCATCGGCCCGGCCTTCGGCTTCATCACCGGCTCCTTCATCCTCAAGCTATATGTTGACTTTGACAAACTGTCAAAAGGTGAGCAAACAATCTACAGCAGTGACGGCTCCCAGCTGGACCAAAATGATGACGTTTATAAATGTGGCAGAGGAATGGGGAGGATATATTGCTTAAATCAGGGTTTTAAAGTGAAAGCACTTAGTGGGTAATTTCCTTTAGAAATACGAATGTTGCACAAAGTGTTGCACAAAATGTTAAAGATAGACTAAACTTAGATGATTCATAGTGAAGTGTTTGCACTTTATTTGACCTTGTATTCAAAGTCAAAGTGATTTTCCAGTGTTTTCTATTTCTACAGAAAACCAACCATGTTTCTTATTTTTACCAAGGGACACATGAAACTACCCATGGAGGGGAGGGGGCGTCATTGTTCTCAGCCAAAGAGAATCTCTTTTCAGCATTAAGTTATTATGAAGGAGCCATGACCTCTGTCCTTCACTCTTCGTCCAAGAATTTCTAAAGTAAACAGAAACTTCCCATAATAATGTCCAAATGTTGTTCAAAAAGTCAAACAGGCTCATATGAGCAACACTGAGGCCTTAGAGTTCAAGCTGCTAATATCTGAACAGCAATCAGTCGTTCTGATTGGTTCATTTGAGACATTTATCAAAACCACTTTGATAACAGAGACAGATCTTTATGTCTGTCGTATTTGAATTTTCTTACTAGTTTTGGTAAACGGTTGTCTTGGGATGTGATTTTTGTTTGATGGTCAAACTGGTGAAACTTTTACTTTCTGCGGTAGGTGTCTCTTCGGTTCCATATGGTAAATGCCTCTTTAATAAATCAGTCAATACATTAATGAGTCAAACCCAGTCATACACAAAACATGAGCACCTTGATTTCCTTTTTTTCCAAAAGCTTTGTCAGGTTTTGCTTGGTTCTGAACTTAAGTTTATATATCAAGATATTAGAAAACATAACATAACCCTAACCAGGCTCACTTTTTTCTGCAACAGTTTTGAATTTCAAAATATGGGTCAGTTTTGGGCAGCCACTACATTAATGGAAGACAAACACCATGGACGAGATTTATCAATTATTATTTCAATATTGGACTTAATTATAAACAAATCATCATATGATATCATTCTTGCTCCTCTGTGTGCTAAAATATTATGTCCACATTTGATTGCGCAGACATTGCGCAGGAATTAGAATAGGTTTTATTATAGGTGCTGTTTATGTTTTCCTAGATGTTGATAACATTTGATGAGTAACATCTGGAGGGTTTCTGCTGTCATCTTGAAATGAAAGTATGACCTAAAAGCAGATGGTTTTGTTTTGGTAATTATTGAGACTAAGAGAAAATAAAAAAGGCATGTTTAGATTAGTCACATTTAAATGGGAAAAGAGAATATTTTCAGAACATAGAGGAACAAGATTGACATCAGCTAACTCCAGTAAAAAACATAAAACCTAATGATTTCAAAGGTCCAAGCAAGCATCAAAGGCATTTTTTATGATGCAATGTCATTTATATTTATGCAATGTCATCTAAACCCAGTGAGGACTAGATCTGCTGCAGTTACGAAATCTGGGTCTTCTAATTTTCTTTCATTTGTTCCAAGCTTGAAATAAAAGTCTGTAAACTTCCACAGAGGTGTAAGTTCTCCATTGCCGTAGGGGTTTATTGTGTGTCAGATGCAACATTTCAAAGATTATGGAGGATGTTGCAAAATGAAGTCAGGATACATATAAACTTGATTCCAACATATTTTTTGGAGGGTTTAATAAACTGATTTTACTGTCCTTTCATTAGATCGGAACTCTGGATGAGATCTGCCATCTCTGTTATTAGAGCGGTTGAGAAAGCAGTCTGATGTGAAGAGTGCATGCCAAAAGTTTGACGTCTTCCGAATTTATGTCTCTCAAGTTTCTTTGTGGACCTGTTTGAACAGAGCTTAATTCCTCTGTCTAATGGGTGTGTGTGAGAACACGCGTGCAAAGTACTTCTGAATACGCATAAAGGTCGGGTCTGTCAACAGAAAAGGTTGGCACCGATTCAGTTCAAAGGTACTTTCAGTTGGTGTGTAAAAAATCTGTTTCACGAATCCTAAAGCGAGGCAGTAAATATATTTCCTGAATGATCATATCTTAGTTTATATCTTATCTCTGACTTCTTATCTTATCAAAGAACTCTGCATTGATCTCTGCGGCATGCTTTCTCCCCATATCAGATTGATTAATATTTAGTCACACTGAAGGACAGCAGAGCAAACTTTACTATAGACCTCTAACCTATGAATAATTGAAAAATCACCGATTACTCTTTATCTGGATGAAATCTATGTGTAATTTTCTAGGTGAAGGTTTTGTAACCTGAATTACATTTAAAAAATGAAAACACATTGAGTCATTCATTTTCGCTTTTGTATTCACATGTTACTTTAGTAGCAGGGCTTTTTGAAGCTTGAACTTTATCTTCACTGAATGTTTCTTTAACTTTTCGTATTGAAGAATGAAACAAAACAAAAGGAAAATGTCCTCATAAAACAGGTATAACTATAGGTCCCTGTTCATACACAATGACATGTGCTTGTGTATGAATATACATGTGTTTTCAGGTTGGATTATGAGATTATTTTGTTATTTAGTTCTTTGTTGCCTGAGCTAACGGGGACATTATGAGTAAGTCTTGCTGTGGCAGACATTAAAGTGTCAGTTAGGGATTGGTCACTCTTCCTGTTCTGGTTGTTTAATCACCGTGATGACGAAGGAGCCTGTGTTAGATGTTGGTGATATTTGTTACACCTCCGCAGGCGATTCATACAGACTACTGATGGTGATGGCCTCTCATTCTTGGCCTGATTCAACAAAATTTACAATCCCTTATAGACAGATTGTATTTTAAACTCTAGAAAAGTTCCTTATTCACATCTGCAAAAACCCAAACGACAAAGTTTTAAGTTTAAGGTTTTATTAACTCTTAGTCATTGTGATTGGCCTCGGTTTAAAGGAAATACTCCATTCGGTTCAATGCTTCCCCAGCTTGGTTTGGTTTTAAGGAAATGCATCATTCTCCAAGGCATGTTACATGAGCTAATTCAAGAATCAGCATTCGTTGGCAGACTCAGTAATGCCTTCCGATGATGCGTTTAAAGTTGTTAGACTGCCGTGTCCAGACTGATCTGTTTCCTCTTTGATGAAAGAACCGCACTGTAAAAAACAACAGTATGTTAAGGGAAAGTGCAATTAGCTTCCAGTATATAAGCTCTCCTAGTTTCCTTGTTGTTATGATGTTTTAAGGAGATCTGACCCACATGCAGTAAACCACTCAGACAAACCAGACTAAAGTTTAACAGGTTTATTAGGAGTCCAAATGGGTTGGATTCAGGTGAACTCAGAGGGCTGGTGAACCTGGAACTGGAAGTAAGAGGGGAAGTTCACAGAAGTTAGTTTAGGGTCCGTGGGAACTTTGAACGACATCTTGCAAAAACAGAGGTAAACTGGACTCACATTTGTGGAGAAAGGTTTCTTCCCAGTATCCAGTCGGTGTGGGTTTTTCCAGAGATAGAGGGGCTCGTTGGAGGGCGGACAGGTTTTGGTTTGGGTGGTTCCTGAGGAGCAATGGAGCGGACTGCCACTTAGATTTCAGGGAGTACTTGAACGGGACGTGTGGAGATAAATCCCCTACTCAGTATGAAGCTCAAACAAATCCTTCCAGGGGGGAGAAGGCCAATAATCCAGTATGCAAGATGACCTCCTGCCGAAAGGCAAAAGACAAAAACAACGTTAGAACTAAGCGAGACAAAGACTCAGTTTGACTCAGCTAAACTCAGCTCGGCTAGAGTACCCAAAACTGGCAAACACTCTGGCATCGAGGTAGTGACAGTCCACCGCTCAAATACTCCCCGGTGATGAGCCAACCAGCCGCAGGTGTGCAGAAGGACGAACGAGGACAGGGCACCACCTGGTGGTGGAGGGAGAGAAAAACACCAAAACACACAAACTAGATTCCTAACACTTGTGTTCCTTGTTGAGAGTGTTTGAACCTTAGAGAAAGATCCTTCAGCTGTTAGAGGGTTTAGTCTGACCTTTATGGTTTAAAGTTTTTTTATTGTCTTTTGAATTATTTGTTTAGTTGTGAAGCTTTAATATTAATGTAGTTTTCTATGCTGCCCTATTTAATTTATTTAATGCAAATTAATAAACTTTGACATTGTTTTAAGCGATTCCAGAACACAAATAAGGTTTTCCTCAACCCAGCCGAGCTTCTGTGACCTTTGAGAGGTTTATTAGGATCTTTCAGAGTTTTTCCAGAATGTCTCAGCAAGGAGGGTTTAGACTGCACTAGTAACATACCATCTCAGTAAAGACCTTTTTTATGACATAAGTTTGGAATCAGTCCTTGTAAAAAAAACCTGTCTAACAGATCCAGACTTTTGGAAAACAGCGAAACTAAGCACAGAAAATGAACCTAATGGAGCAACAGTCCAGAAACAACAGATTGTTCATCATAATAGTTCAGAAAACATTGAGAATCTTTTTTTCCTGTACTCAGTTAACCCGACAGCTTCCTGTGAATTTTCCTACCAAAGCATCACTAAAAGAATTCTGTGCTAATCCAACGCAGACCGACTCAACAGCTGTACTGCTGCAGAAACTTGGCCCATGTTCTGACAACAGCTCAGAAGGTGGTCTGGATTCAGCTTGAACTCTGTCAGGACCCGAACCAAAGGAGGCAAACACAGTTGCAGGTGTCTGAAAGACTCCTGAGGCTGGACACCTCACCAGTGGCTGAGTTTAAATCTGTTCATGTTTTCCTCCTGCATACTGGGGTTCTCTGTAGGAATGCTGGCTTCCTCCCCAAGAGCAGTTGGCATGTTGGCTCAGTTCATGTTCCTGGCTGATTGTTTTCTTTGTTGCTCTTCGCTGGAGCAGCAGTCCCTGGGGGTTCAACCGCCTCTTGCCAAATGACGCCTGGAACTCCTGTGACCCAACAAGGATAAGTGAATATAGGCAGCAATTAGGGGGCTGGTGAAGGAAATTCTTATTGTTAAATGTAGCAGTATAGTTAAAACAAGTCCAGTTTAAACAGGCATTTTCCCACATTAGGAATGAGAAGATTTCAGATCATTTAGTTCAGTTTTAAGAGTATTCCAGGCAGCAGGAGCTGCTTCCCAACTATGTTCAAACACAAGAAACTAACCAGACAGATAAATCACATGAGCGGAGAGCATAATGACTACTGTGCATATAGATCACAATGATGGCTGGGGCACCTGCATCCTGTCCCAAACCTCAGAGCAGAGTAGCTCAACCACTGAAGGCATGTGGACGAGTCTTACATGAGAAAAACTTCAGCATCATCCAACAACGGAAGAAATGTTGCTGACAACAGATTTTTGCAGTCCCTGAGTGAGAAGCACCAACTGTTTTGATAATAAAAACCAACAGCACCTTTAGTGTTTGTAATACGCATTTCAATGCATTTCGATTTGTTTCCATTGGACAGTTTATAATTGAGGCCTAAAGGCATCTGCTTTACATTTTGTTAAAAAATTACATTACTTTAAGTACTATGCATTTAAAACTAACTTTCGAGACGAACATATGTTTTGTAATAGAACTATATCAAAAGCATTTTGAAAAATTAAGTATATAGCAATAAACTATGGTGTCATCGGCCTACAGATGATATTATACAGATTTAAACACATTATTACGCAAATGGAAAATCTAATAGGTCCTATAACTGAGCCTTGTGCCACTCCTTTACTGTCCTGAAGAAAAGAAAAGGCAGGAGCTACCAATCTACTGTATTTCACAGTTAACAAACCAAACAAAATATTCTGTAAGGTTTTTATCAAGAGGGCGACGAAAACAGCAACACAATGTTGTTTGTTATGGTGATCGTGGATAAACGTGTTAAAACTCTTAAAGTGTCTGTGACAGTTTAAGTTTTCTAAAACCAGAGTGAAACCAAGGTGCAGCGCAGCCGACAGCGAGGCAGCAAATTAACCTGCCAAGCTGCAGCTTTTGCCAAAATGCTCTAGGAGCAACAAAACCAGTCAGATATCTAAGCTTGGCAGATTTAAAACGTTTGATCAATTCAATGACTTTTGGTCGAAGTTGACATGGAAATTACATGCTTTAAACAAGGTTTTAGAAAAAACGTCCTAGCATAACTGTCAAGGCTCTCCCCTTTTGGGACTCTGAGTTTTTAGTTTTCAGTTATTCTGTTTTGTTGATATTTGGTTTATTTTCCATTATATTCGAGCAGTCTTTTATTACTCCCTGTTGCCCCTTTCTGCTTGTTTCCTTTCCCCTTGGCTTCCTTCTTGTTAGTTCCACTCACACCTGCTCCTTATTCAGCTCATTGTTCCAACATTTGTTCTGTTCCCCTTATATACTCCACCTCTACAGTCACTCAGTGCTGGTTCCTGGTTGTTTTGGTTGTTCCTTCGTCTCTGGCTTCTCAAGAGAGTTTTCCCTGATGCTTTCTGTTTTTTTGGTTCTTAGTATTTTAAATTTTTGTTTGTCTGCCTCTGTTTTTCATTAAATCTACAAGATTTACCTCTGCCTCCTGCTCTCTGCATTAGGGTCCTCAACTAACCTCCATACAATTACAGCCTCTAAAGCGCATGTTTTCTTTGCTCTTGTCAAAGCTTGTGAATTGTTTTGCAAATGAATCACTGTTTGACTCTGGTGGTCACGGATATCTAATCTTCACTGTGCTGTAAACACAGATGATTAAATAAACCATAGACAGTTTAAGATGAGTTATTTCACAACACCCTCCGGCAGCTTCTCACATCTGATAAAAGGAAGTTCACACATTTTTCAGTTTGCTTTGGCTAAACTTCCTTAAAGAGCTGATTGTCCTTAAATACTAAAATTTATAATATAAGGATCAAGAACCTTTTTACATTTTAGATGTTTTTCATCAATGTTACGCCTAGAATGGGGATAGTAACAACGATTAATGCTTGGCAACAAGTCTATTTCAGTGAAACAAAACCCAGAGTAAATTATCATCTGCATAAGTCAATATTTTTTTTGCTTCTTTTAGTTTTGTAAATTTATAAATATTTGATTGACTGTAATAGTTGTCCAAAGACATGACCCTGAGGACTCTGATTCTTAGATATTTTTATTTTTTTTAACAAGCAGTTTATAAAAAGGACCTTAATTCAAACTATGAGCTGATTTGGAGCACAGCCAATTAACCGATGCAAGTCTAGCTCCTACTGGGGGTGGTTGGCCCACTGTGGGATGGCCTGTTGTCATTTGTTCAGTCCTGGACAGGTTCCTCGAGGAGGTAACCGTCCACCAGATGCTACCTGACGAGCCCACCATCTTGGGCAGCATCACTCCCCTAAATGTATTTAGGCTGATTTATACTCAGAAACCAGGTCGTCTGCGTGTGTGACGCAGTGATTGCAACTGTGCCCCGCACCCCTTCCCCAGTCGCTCTGGTGCACCTTTTCAAAATTGTAGGTGACCACAGACAATGCAGCAGACAGGAGGCCTCTGATTGGTTAAATCTACATCAGCTCTACACTATGGATATTTCCTGTTGGTTACCTTACCGGCTTGTTTTGTTTGTATGAACGCCATTGTGGTCATGAAGATGGAGCAGTGAGGAGCGCGTTCTCATTTTCCTCCATTGTTGCATTACTTGCCGCCACTACCTCACGGACTCAGCTGTATCTAGACCCACAGTTAGCTTGTCACTCTTGCGTTATGGCGTGGAATAAAATAACACGGACCACACTTAAATATTGGGCATAAATCAAAAATATCTGCAACAAGCTCACTGTGACACACTGCTGCGAGAGTATAGACAGCCCTTAAGTCATCATAAATACTTTTGAACAGCTTCTTGTCTGACCCGTCACCCGGAGCCTGTTTGCCTTTGGAGTCCCTACCCGGTCGTTTAAGCCCCTGATATCATAGCCTCTTGGATCACCTAGGCACTGAAACCCCTCCACCATCATAAGCAGGGGGTTCAAACAGGGCATTACCTCTGATATTTTGGATTAAAAATGGGCTTATAAACAGTGTCTTTCATTGCAAATGTCTTACAGGCTCCTGGATGAATTCAACTTTAATCACTTTATTACACAAACAGCAAATGTGATTAAAAATTAAACTCCAGGATATACGGGGTGTGAGATTCCGTTTACTGTAAGCTTGCACTACATGATTAAATAGAAGTTAAAACAGCTGGCTAATGTTTATCAGACCAAAGGTTTTAAAGAAACGTGACAAAAACGGAAAACAGATTTCAGTGGAGGCATTCTTCCTGTCATGGACAGGTTTGGACAAGTTTTGATCACTTGTTCCCATTGAGAATCTCAGTGGACGATGACGGAACGCTGACACAGTTTTAGATTACAGCTCATCATGTCAGAGCTCCTGTGTGTGAGTGAGTGTGAGTTATGCATCACTTCCATAGAGGATCTTTGTAGAGAACCTAGGTAGCCTACACAGGTGAGGATAATCTTTCTCATCAGAGTGCTGGGCTTAAAAGAGCAGCAGAGCCTTCACTCAGAGCTGGTTTCTTGTGTTGTTGATGTTGTTTCGTTGCTTTCTTGTCACTTCCTTCAAGTATTTTCCCTGACGTTTATTGGTTTTTGTTTGGTTGTCAGTATTTTCCTATTTTGGATTTTTGCCTCTGTACCCCTTGGACTTTCGTTAAATCAACAAAAGCTCATCTGTGCCTACTCCTCTCTGCATTTGGGTCCTCAAAGCCTCCACACAAGCTGAAACATCATTTATCATTTCAGATTGCTGTTGTGGATCTTTGTTCTAAAAGTCTTAGGAGATCAAATATTTAGCATCTTTTCAAGTCATGGGATTCCAAAGAACTTCAGTCAGTCGCCCATTCATGCACTGACTGATGGCGTCAAGCTAAAATGCAGCCACTGCTAAATTGGGGCCCACGGCACAAGTGAGGCTGCTGTACACAGGCTCCACCTCTGACCACCATCAGTAGGCAATGAGGATGGAGGAGACAAGGACAGAGAAAGGGGCTCAAACTGGTCACACTTTAACTCCTGCATCCGATGCCACTGTCGCCGAAAACATCACATAACTACTGCAAATATAGAAAAACTATATACTTAAACTGTGAAGATTTAAGATTAAATGTAACTGTAACTTTCTTTTTGCTGTTTAGATGACATTGAGCTGGATCCCAAAGACCTTCGCTGGGTCGGGGCCTGGTGGCTCAACTTCCTGCTGGCCTCCGGCCTCCTCTTCCTCAGCGCACTGCCTTACCTGTTCTTCCCCAGAGAGATGCCCAAAGAGGTGAGATGGGATCACTGGATGTTAGAAGCAAACAAAGCTGCAGTTTCACCTCAGGAGCTAATTTTGGTCTGCAGGGGAAAACATTCTAAATTTTTGCCATCATCCATCCATCCATCCATCCATCCATGCTCCAACCATCAACAATCGATCCATCCATACATTCATCCATCCATCCATCCATGTTCCAACCATCAACAATCCATCCATCCATTATCCATCGATCCATCCATCATCTGTCTCTCTGTGGGCGTTGTCTTGTTCTACTCTAACAGCAGCCCTTCATTGTCCAGATGCTTTAGCAGCTCCAAAATTAAAGTTGTGTGTCTGGTTTCACCACAGTCTCCTCTCTGGTGTGATAGTTCCCAATAAACATGTTTCTAACTACAAGCAAACAACAGTTAAATGTTCCCTATAATCATTATGGGTGTGATTTAAACGTCTTTGGCCAAGCGTAGCTGCAGCAGCTGTGAGGAACAGTTTAAACAGCTCCAGTAAGTTTTTTCCGTGAAAACACAGTTTATCTGGAATTGGCCATCTGGCAGAGATAAGACTTGCTAAGCTCAGTGAAAGAGCTGAAGGATTCAGGTTTATTGACTAAAGGAAATGAAGGACATTTTACCAGCAGAGCAGAAAGACCCAGCAGAACCAAACTGAAATTATGTTAATTATATATTTCCATTTACTCAACAGGGGGTAAACAATATTAAAAACATTTTCTGGCCCAGAAATCTAACAGATCAGAATGATAAGAACAGAAATAATTTAGGGACAGACAGACATCTACATATGATGGAATATAACTGATTATGTGATATTTTTCTCCCAAAAAAAAATGCAGAATAAACTCAAACTGTTTAATTTAGACCTAATGAAGACCTTCAGCTCTTTCATGTTGCAGCTTGCCGCTGTACTGAGGGCTCAATATGTTTTGGCTCCAACCCTGAAAACACAGAACATGTTTTCTCAGTAGAATGACGTGGGTATGCACCAGATTGCTCAACACTTGGACCTCCACAGGAGAGATCAGTTAAACAGCAGCCAAACCTGATGTAGATGAAAACAAGGTGCAGGTCTTCATTTTTACTTCCTGTAGTAGAAATGTGTTTCGCTTTGTACGCAGCAGAGTTCTGAAAGGTTTGGGTTCAGATCAGGGATCCTAGTGTTATAGACCTCATGTCTCCTCCATCCACTGACCTTGGTCACTGTCTAGAAGGCTGGAGATTAAAAACAACTGCTTCTGCTTTTTTAATCATATTTCACTGAAGGTAGCTAATTCTACAGATCCAAAACTAGAAGGTCATCAGCAATGGAAGCTGAGGAAAGGTTCCTGACCAGAGACTTTGAAGCAGTAGGGCTGCCTTGGCTCCTCAGGTTATTTCATTGCTCTCATCATAAAGAACTTCATGGACACATAATCTGTGCTGTAAAACAAGCAGGCATCATGACTGACAACATGAAACTGGTCGATCAGGATCAGTCAAGACAAGCCTGGACCAGAAAGCATCATCTGGAGGAGATCTCAGAAAACAGAAACCTTCCATTACTCTGCTGTTAATGAAAATATTTCAGACTAAGAGCTTAAAAACTGGACAAGATTTTAAAAAAGAAAGTCAAACAAAGTTCTGGCTGCTCTCAGCAGGGCAATGATGGATGATACAAAGAATTTTACTATTTTACTGCAGTTTTTTTTTTTCTTTCCTGGGGGAAATAGAGTCCGGTAAAAAAAACAAAGGAAGTGTGGATTTCAAAAATCAAAAAATAAAACATTTGCATTAAAGTGGGATCGCCATTAAAATGCTCCGATCCCTGTAGAAATACAAGGAATGGCATCAACCTGAGACTCAAAGCTCAGCTTATCATCAGTGGGAATGGAAAAATATTTGACCCACTCACACTTCTTCATGTTCCATCCCATCAGCAGAGGCGGCGGCAAGATTTCTCCAAACAGCATCTCTTTAGTTTTTACAACATTAAGAAGAAGAACAACAGCAGTCAAGTAGTTTTTCTTTCACTATAGAACCATTATCCTGATCTTCACTGATCAGCATGGACTCCATGACATCCATCTGCAGTGAAAGAGCCTTCAGTCCATTAGAACTGGACCAATAATCAGAATCTTTTCTTTCAATTATCAATTAAAGAAATCAAAAATTAATTAAAGGTTTAGGAGGGTCTCTGTTCCTGAAGGTTCTTTGGACCTCCAACAAACGGACATGACGGAAAGTTCAGAGGTCAAAGGTGGAGGAAGAAAGAACCCCACCTGAGGCACCTTTGTTCCTTTGAAACTAAAACCCTGGAATTAGAGTCAGGGATCTATAACTCGACAATCTATATAGATAGTACAATAGATACATTTCGGTAACTACAGTCTACAGTAGATATATCTATCTTGATATGTCTATAAATACACTTTAGAGTAGAGTAAGATAACTACAGTCTACAGTGTATATATATAGATATATAAATATATCTATAACTAAAGTTTTAATATACAATGTATGATTATATAAATAGAATATATATGTAAAATATATTATATATTTATATCATATATATATATGTATAACTAGTCTACAGCAGATACATCTATCTGTATGTATCTATCCTATCTATCTATCTATCTATCTATCTATCTATCTATCTATCTATCTATCTATCTATATACCTATATATTCATATATATATATATTTATTTATTTATTATATATATACTTATCTATATATCTTGTGACGTTTCTTTCTGTTTGACAGAACGCTGCTGACGATGTTGAGTCCAGACCAGACAGTAAGCAGCCAGAGCGAACGGACCCGATGAGGGAACTCTCCTTTATTCAGTTCCTAAAATGTAAGAGTTTGATTTCTGCTTCCGTTTCCTGTCTGATGAGGCCAAGACCACTGTGGGTCAGCAGGTGTTTCATCCTGCTGACCTTCAGAGAGACGGCTGCTCCGTTCTTCAGTTCTGTCATCATAGCGAAGTACCAGCAAACATGAAGAACCCCTACAGAATTTTTAACTCCAACCACAGTGTTGGCATTTGATAGTGAGGTCTGACCTTCAGACACGTGACTAACAGCAATGCGGTTCTACAGGTTTCCCCCGTATCGCTCTGCGGACGCTGCGCAGCCCCATTTACCTCCTGGTGGTCCTGGGCCTGGTCAACCTGGCGGCGCTGGTCTGTGGCCTCGGCACCTTCATGGGCAAGTTCATTGAGAAGCAGTTCTCTCAGACCACCTCATTCTCCAACATGATGATAGGTGAGACCATTCTCTTGGTTCTGTGGTGTGAGTTCTGTTTTTGAGGTTGTTTCCAGAAGGTTCTGCTGTGATGTGATGATCGGATTTAGCTTTATTATTTAAAACTGTTCAGGACAAAAATCCTTTCTAGATGTTTTTGTACCCAAAGAAATCAGACCACTTCCTGTCAGCTCATGAATCGGCTCCACCAGTCCAATCAGAACACCGGTTCCTATAAAGAGGAGCATACAAGGTTGCATCACTTCCCATAAGAAATAGAAATGATGCGGGACACTTCAAGTCCAATTTCCTGCTGCTGATTGGCTGAAACATCTGGAGAAGGCAGCTGGTAGGGCCAAACCTTCCCACGCTGTAGGAACGGTTTGATGAGGAACCAGGGATTTTCCAGTAGAGCTGCATTACAACGTAAAACCACACTGGATAAAACATCAGAACCTGACAGTTTGGAACTTAAACTCCTGAAGATGGAGGAACTGAAGTTAAAATCCAATGAATCTGTTTCTCTGTAGTTTATTCTGAATTTATTACAGAACCTTCTAGAACCTTTTCTTTTTTACCATGATTAACTCTTCTCTAGTGTCCCAGTCAGGATGAGATCTAACTGAATCTTTGGATGTCCCTGTCTCAGGAGGAATCGGGATGCCGCTGGCGGTTCTGGGAATCGTTCTGGGAGGAGTTCTGATGCGTAGATTTAACTTGTCAGTCAACAGTGCCAGCAAGTTGTGTTCTGCTGTCATTTTTCTCTGCGTGTTCTTCGCCCTGCCGATGATCTTCATCGGCTGCCCCACGCAGACCATTGCTGGGTCCTTTCCTGTCAGGTAGAGTCACCATCATGTACCAGGACAGCCCATTCCTGTTTGCCTGGTTTTTTTTTTTTTTTTTTTATCATGTACCAGGACAGCCCATTCCTGTTTGCCTGGTTTTTTTTTTTTTTTTTACAGCTGGTTCTAAAGTTCTCATTCATTTGGTTCAACTTTTCTGTTTTCAGGTCCAGTAACCACGCCTGTAACTCTGCGTGTAACTGTCCTCAGGAAGCATTTAATCCTGTCTGCGGTTCTGATGGAGTGGAGTTCCGGTCTCCCTGCCATGCCGGCTGTTTGTCCCGACAAATGGACACAAACGGAAAACCCACGGTAAGAGTTCAGTACAGATCAGGCAACTCAGCTACACCCCAAACCATCAGAACTCTGTTCAGAACAGCCTCAGCACCAGTAAATCTGATTCTTTGGGCCAAACTCTGTGGTTAGCAACACTTTACCTGATCAGACTACAGAGCAGGTGTGTCAAGCAACCAAGAATCATAACTTCTTCCTGGACTTAAAAAGCTTTCCTTATATCTGTACTATACTTTAGTAAAGAATTTGAGTCCTTTTATAACCTCTGCCATAGAAGAACCCCAGGTACCATCAAAGCTTCCATGATCTGAAGAGGATCTGCAGTCTTTACCAACATTAGAAGGAGGTTTTTGCTCCTATACAATCAGTTTAAGCCAAGCTGTGGAGCAGGACAAAAATCTCTGCTGCATGTGAGCTAACATCCCTCTTAACTCCAGAAGATCCAGCGGAGAATAGGGGGGAGTAGGGAGATGTGGAGAGAACTAAGATTAGGCTGATGGTGAGGAGGCCTTTCAACCTCAAGCCTGGCTCTTCTCACTAAAGAGGAACCATCATAACATAATAGAGGAACCATCAGAACACCATAGAGGAACCATCAGAGCATCAAATGAACCAACAGAACACCAAAGGAACCATCAGAACACCATAGAGGAACCATCAGAGCATCAAATGAACCAACAGAACACCAAAGGAA